AGAGAATTGGTGCGAGACAAGATTACTGAACTGATAGAATGTAATGTCATAAAATCTAGTTGCTCACCTTATGCAAGTCCCATAATGCTGGTTAATAAAAAGGATGGTTCCCATGGTGGATGGTTCGTCTGTGTGTTGATTATCGCGAATTAAATTCCAACACAGTTTCTGATAAATACCCATTGCCCCTTATAGCGGATCAAATAGCTAGACTTAACGGGGCAAAGTTTCATGTTTAGTGATGTCGAGCGGGTATTATCAAATTCCTCTGCATGAAGATTCAATAGAGTGTACAGCTTTTGTCACCCCAGATGGCCAGTATGAATATTTTTGCATGCCGTTTGGTCTCAAAAGCGCGCCTTCAGTTGTAGAACGTACAGTGATGCAAGCCCTCGGAGACCTTGCAAATAAATTTGTGGTTGTCTATATGGATGACGTACTGATAGACGCTTCAACGAAAAGTGAGGCCTTGGGCAGGTTAAAGATTACTCTTGACGTTCTCATAAAAGCTGGATTTTCATTTAATGTAAAAAGTATTTTATTCTTAAGTCATCTGTTCGATATTAAGGATATGAAGTGAGTGCTGGTGAAATTCGACCAAAATTCGCTTAAAATTTCAGCGTTGACTGCCCTACCACCTCCTCAGTCGGTCTCTGCTTTAAGACAATTCATTGGACTAGCGTCTTATTTTCGTCAATTCATGAAAGGATTTTCTTGTTTTATGAAACCATTATATCTTTTAACATCAGAAAAGAATGAATTTAGTTGGAAGCCAGAACATGAAAAAATACGGGAAAAAGTTATTTCTATTCTTACACAGAAGCCACTCTTGCATACCGATGCAATCGCTCGTGGATATGGTGCCATTTTGTTACATAAAATTCACAAAAAGTCCCATGTGGTTGAATATTATAGTAAGGCTGGTTCACCCGCTGAGTCACGATACCATTCTTATGAATTGGTGATTCTTGCTGTTGTCATGGCAATAAAACATTTTCGCCATTATTTGTTAGGCAGAAATGTTGTTGTACTTACTGATTGCAACTCACTTAAAGCATCAAAGTCTAAACGTGACCTACCTCCCAGGACACAAAGGTGGTGGGCCTATTTACAGTCGTTCACATTTGATATTCAATATAGGGAAAGGAAACGAAATCAAGAAATCTTCCTGCGGCCGATTCTACTATGGTAACTTGTAAAACTCCTGAAAAACGAATTAATTTGGCAGAAATTTCTAGCCATTGGCTTATGGCTGAACAACTTCAAGATTCTGATATTTTTAATATTGTGAAAAAATTAAAAGAAAATTCTCTGGCCTCGGTCTCTATCAATTGTTCCTCGAGCTTTTAGATAGTCTGTAATAAGTCAAATTCATGAGTCAATTAAGCACTTAGGATGGGAGAAGACGTTAGACAAGTCCTATGATTATTACTGGTTCGATCACATGGCTAAATATATTTGAAAATTTGTTGAAAACAGCATTACTTGCATAAGGTCAAAGTCGTTCTCAGGTAAAATTCAAGCTAGTTTCCATCCAATACCAAAAGTCGATATACCTTGGCACACTATCCATACAGACATAACTGGGAAGTTAAGCGGCAAGTCTGATCAAAAGGAATATATTATTGTCCAAGTAGACGCCTTTACTAAATTTGTCTATCTTACTCACACGCTTTAAATTGATGCAGAAAATTGCAAAAATTCAGTGACATCAGCTGTATCTTTGTTTGGAGTACCAAACCGCATAAAAGTGGATAAGGGAAGGTGTTTTGCTAGCACTAAATTCAGCGAGTTTTGTTCACAACAAAAAATAAATTTAATCGCGTAAACAAAATAGAATTTTTTTTGAGTTGCTGCAAACAGTGCAGGCTTACGCAGCGCCTCGTGAGTCAAAGACGGTGTTTTTACCAAAATACAACCCTGAAGCTACCGGTCCTGATACATGTGCTTGGAGTGTTACGGCCGATATGATTTTTTAATGAAAATTAACTTGAGGGTTGTGCGCTCGTGATTGCCCTCAGTAAAGCTTTGGAGGGTAGTGCATCGCAATGGCTTTCACAAATCTGTTTTCCTGGCATGACTTCGGTTGACTTCCAGCAACTTTTTACGCAAAGATTTGTCGGCATAGAGACAACCACAGCAACATTTCTTAAGCTGCTAGACGGGCGCCCAGGGACTGAAGAGTGCATGTCGTCGTATGCAAGCCGACTCGTCACTTCGTTAATGACGAAAATGAAAAATATGGAGCTGGAGGAATTGTTGGTGTCAGTTGTGTTTGCGCAGACTAAAAAAGGTTGTGTGCGCCACAAACATCAAATCGCGAAGCGAATTACAGCAACAGTTGCAGGTATATGAACAGAGAGTGAACATATGTTCAGTAATGGAACCAAAAGGTGTGCTCGTTCATTCTGGTGAGTTCGTTGATTTTTGTTTAGACTCTGGAGCCGAATGTTCACTCATTAAGGAAAGCGCAGCTGGAAAATTCTCTGGAAAAAGACTTTTTAACGTAGTAATGCTTAAAGGTATTGGAAACGATTCTGTATGTAGCTCCACGCAAATTTTGACCAATGTAACCATTAATGACTTTATTTTGGAAATGTTATTCCATGTCGTTATGGACAAGTATTTAAAACACGATGTTATGATAGGCAGGGAAATTTTAAGTCAAGGTTTCGGAGTGACGATCGAGTCAAACAGATTCTGCATTTATAAAGTAAAGCTGATTAATGTTGTTACTGAACCCAAAACATATGAAGAATGTATTAACCAAAATGTAGAGTTAGACGAAGCTGACAAGTCATTGTCGACTTGTATGTCTTATATCACTGAGAGTCGGTGAGAGGACTAACTGTGAATTCATCTCACTGAGTGAGACCCGTGCATAGAGTTGTTGGTGTACGTGCAGTTCTTTGTCAGCTGATTCGTGTAAGGACACAAAGAAAGCGTTGCAAGAAGGAAAAGTGGCTACGGCTGGTTTTCGTTGCGTTGCAAGAAGCAAAAGCGGTTACGGCTGGTTTTCGATGCGTTGCAAGAAGTAAAAGCGGTTACCGCTGGTTTTCGTTATTATTCGTTGCGTTGCGAGGCAAAGGATTGATGTGGGCAGACAGAAGTAAATGGACTGAGCGAACGGACGTGATTGCGTACTGCGAAATTTAGAAAAGAGAAACAAATACCACTAACAAAGATGCCGGGACTCGCTGCTCAAAGTGTGAAGACTTTTGACCCTACGGCCGCTTCGACATATACTTAATGGGGTCGGAGATGCTTCCTTCTGCCCGTTACATACATTTTCTCAAAAACATTATAACCTTTTTATCCTTTTCTATGGGCTCAATGTATAACAAGTAAGAGGTTCTAATCAGGAGCTCCCGACTAGAGGATACCCTAAGCCCTCTTATTCCAACACCACATTTAGCTCGCGCTACACGCTTTTTTGCTTCAGTAGTAATAAAGATAAAACAAGTAGGAAGTTCTAGTTAGGAACTCCAGACTAGGGGATACCCTGAACCCTCTTCTTCCAATACCAAATTCAGCTCGCGCTACTTGCTCTTTTGCTTTAGTAGTAAATAGGTTAAATGTAAAAAAAAATTAGTTAACCGCACTACTTGTCGCCGTATCTTCTCAACAGCCACAATAGGCACAAAAAAAAATAGTTTCCCCGGTAGGTCTCGAACAAGCGACAGGCCTCACCACTCGCCGCCCCCTCTACTCAACAGCCACACCAATAATTGAGTCTTAGTGAGAAAAAAAAACACTTAAAATAGTAGCACAGAAAACAATACAATCGCAATTATAATGCTGTTGATGAATACGAAGCAGACGCGCATGAATTTGTGTGGGTACATGTATACAAATATTCTTCGAATTTGCGCTGGTGCCGCAAACACGTGTTTCTTAACCGATCTTGATGATCGGTTATTGTGCGTAGGCACTAGTACTACTACTGAATTTCAAGTTTCTAGCTCTAATATGTGTTATCCTTGCGTTCATACATACGGACAGCTGATCAAGAATATATATACTTTATGGGGTCGGAGATGCTTCCTTCTGCCTGGTACATACATTTGCGCAAATACATTATACCCTTTTTAGCCATTTTCAATGGTTAAATGGTTCAGGGTATAAAAAGCACACCACAAATTCTGTCCTTACTATCCTTTTTTAGTTTACGGCTACAGCCTATTATCTTAGCTTTTGCACCCTTCTAACTCATTGTTGTGGTTTCTTAGCACTGCTTTGCCTAAAATTCGCAAACTCATGTCTTCTTCTTCTCAAGCAGCTCGGCATATTTTTATCATTTTTCATTTTTCGATCAGCAAGACACCCTTTCTCAAAATAGGGTATTTTAACTATTTATAAGTGGTGTAACCAAATAGCACAAACCTTATATACACATTTTATCCAAAGTTTATGAAAAATATAATTTCGTATTTATTGTTAGTTGAATTATTAACAATTGTTTTCTTGAAACATTTTATACCATTTCTATAAATAGGAGTATCAATGCCGCGACCCGCCAAATAGTTGTTGTACGTGTGTAAGGCTATCTAATAAACCTCTCTCTCAGCGGAGTTTAGATAGGCAACAATGAAAATCTTTGAAAATAAAGAATCATGGACGTTTGCTACTCAGGAACGAATTCATTTTTATTTTTTCATCAATAAAATTGTATTGCGGACCAACTTTTCGGTTGAATATATAATTGCAAATTTAAACACAAACGTGTAGTATTCAGGGAATGACTTGAAATATTTATTGTTACCCGTCTAAAGAAAATTTGGTTTTTGATACATTGGACAAGCTACATATGTATGTTTAAAAAAACCCATGGAAATTTGGCTAACTTCGTGTTCCTGCTTTCCTAGCAGCTCTACCATTCACTATAAGTAATAAATGTTATGGAGTTTCGAAATATAAATCCGCGGTAAATTCACCATGTATTTATATTATGTGATCTTAACTTTTATACAACAACATAACTTATGAGATAAAGAACTTACCTCCAAAAACTTGACACTTTAATGCCACAATGTCGCCTTCGCTGTAGGGGCCAACAACTGTTGAACGTTCAACATTAGCACTGTCACGAATGACAACTTGCTTGGGAGGTGCTATAATTAAAATGATTAGGAGTTAATTTTGATAGATGTATCAGATAATTATTATGTTGCAGTCTGTTCAATAACACTCGCAAACTGCCAAATTTGAATACGCTGAACCCATTGAAAATTGGTAGAAGGATCTCAGAACCTAATAGAGCTAGAAAATTTAAATTTTGGACATTTTTCCTGATAGTGCCCGCGAAGTACGGGCTTGGCCGATAATCATAACTTGCCCCGTTTCCAAGCAATCGATAAAAATAAGAGACTGTAATATTTGGATTTAATAATGAATTTACAGAAGCACGTTAGTGCTACTTGACTTGTTTCTTGAGAATGCATTTATTCAAAGTAAAAAATATTGCGCTTAGCTATGAATACATGTATATACTTATGCTGTTATTGGTTAACAGCTACAAAGAGAGGGAGAGTGAGTAGCTTGCATATGCCTGTGTTAGTGAGCATATATGTTGCTCATGGAATGCGCTCAGACGGAGCGTGAGAAGTGCAGTGTAAGCATAAACGGTCAGCTAAAGAGGCTAGTGAACTGCGCTGCGTAATATGAGCCAGAGCCAATATATAAAGTGGCTCTGGGCTTGTTTAATGTATAATTGCTATTGTATGCGACAAAGTGCCGCATACTTTATATTTGTATATGGGGTGTTCTTTTAAGGCATATACACACCACAAGACTCTAGTCAGGAGCTCCCGACTATAAGATTCCCACAACTTTCTTTTACCAACACCAAATGCAGCTCGCGCTTTAAGCGCGTTTGCTTTAGCACTCATAAAAAATGTAAAAAACAATTTAGGAATCTAGTCAGGAGCTCCCGGCTAGGGTATAGGGCAGATCGCGCAACGCGCTCCTTTGAAGTAATAAAGGTAAATGTAAAAAAAATGTTCCCTTTGCAGAGTTCGAACTCGCAACTGACCGCATTACTAGCTGACGATTCTAATCAGCAGCCAACAAAAAAAAAAAAAAAAAACAGTTTCCCGGTAGGGCTCGAACACGCGACAGACCGCACCAATTGCAATGCCTCTACCCAACAGCCAAACCAATAAAAAGGTATTATTGAGATAATCACGAATTAAAATAGCAGCACAGAAAAGAATATGTCGCGCATGAATGTGTGTGTATACACGCAAAAAGTTAGTTGCATTTAAATTTTGACTTAAATTGGTGGGTAATATAAGTTTGGTTAATTACATGCTTTATAGCTCTGCGGTGATAGCTGGGAGGTTGCGATAGGTATAAAATGCATAAATAGAAGCAACATATCAAGTTTGGTGAAGCTAGCTCTTTATACTTACCCAATTTGCTGAAAAAACAGGATATCGATATCGATTTTTATCGTTTGTTTGGAAACGGAGTAAGTGATCGATTATCAGAAATAAACTCGACCTGCGCAGGCACTGGGAGGACCTACAGCTAAAATTTCAAATCTCTATCTCTTTAAGGTTCTGAGATCCTTTAATACATACGGACAGACGGACGGACGGACAAGCGGCCAGATAGGCGGACGTGACTAGATCGACTCGGCTATTGATGCTGATAAAAGAATATAAAAACTTTGTGGGGTCGGAAATACATTATATCCTTTGCTCCCATTTTCAATGGGTTCAGGGTATAAAAGAGGATCTCCTTCCAATCAGAGTGGAATCCGTTCCGACCGAACTACCTGATAGAGTGGGGATTTTTAGTTAAATTTGTTGAATAAGTTACACGTTCATTTTCTGGTTGATCGCTACTAGTGCGACCGTATGATGACCGAAAAAGCAAAACCAGTAATAATATTTATTATAGGCATGATGTGCTCTCTTCAATTCAATCTTACAAACTAAAAACAAAATTAAAAGAAAACTTTTCCAAAGCCCTCAGACCGCGGCAACGGCAACGGCAGAATGCTGACCCAGCACCTTGTGTCTACTTCTGGATGGTCACTCAGCGCGCGCATGTGTGACCGGCAGTAATGCGAAGTCAACGAATATCAGCGGTATTCGGTCTCTTGGCGGGATCGGCAGACGTTGGTTTGGTGGCGTTAACTCCTCCCTTGGTTAAGCCAAGGCCGTCCTCGACCTTCCGAATTCCTGCTTCCAGGTTCGCTATCAGCTTGGTCCGGCGTATAGGTCTAAGACGGCGGCGTATTACACGTGCGGAACCGTAGAGGAGAGGCGGCAAACTCAGCTATTTCTTTTAAATCAATATTGTCCACGAGAACTGAGACAATTAGGTTCGTTTTAGCAAAATTGTTCAAAAATATGAAATTCGGTAAGTCTGTTTTTGCAATCCGATTTTTTTGCCCATATTGTTTCAAGCGAATGAGCCCTATCTGCTCCTTTACTTTTGTAAATTCAAGCTGAAACTTTGTTTACGAGTTAATTTCTATCTGTATATTTTATGAATTTATAATGGCCCTGTTTACACGTGATTAGCTACCAGTAGAAAAATATAACATAATATTAAATGGAAAACTATGTCTTCGATTCCTCCTACAATTATGGACAATCGTAAATGTGACTCTACAATCCCTTCGCTGTAGAGTGGGGCTTATTTTTTCGAAATCTGTTATTGGACTTCACCCACACATTTCTTATCTGATGTGATTTGTTCGACCTGTTCTTGTATTCTTGTTTCATTGCTTTCTGCTGGGCTTCTTGTAGCCTTCGCCTTTTTCCAAAATACTTTTAAAAAACTGCATGATTTCGACTCTTTTTTTTTTTAAATAAATAACATAATATTCCGATCGGTTACTATTCTTGCCATGATGATTGAATCTAAGGTTAACTCCCATCCGTTGGCTTCTTTCATACAAGTGTGATGTCTTACAGGCTTATGAGTTGCAGCACAGCAACTTTTACGTCCATGATCGCCCGTGAAGCGACTGGCGATGGACGTGTGAAAATATTTGCGAACAGTGGAAAATACATCCACGTGTACATTTTTTCCAACATAGGACAGAATTGGAGTAACGCCAACTTCCTGTTTTTTGGTCTTTGCGCAGACTCTACAGTACTCGGCGATTTCTACTGCTAAACGGCTCATTCTTTGGTGGAAGCAATCTCGCATTATTTGTCCTGTTGTGTTCCTCAGATAGCTTATTTTGGTCGAACACATATATGACACAGTGACTGATCGTTGTTGACGAAAACATTTAAACAAGATTATGTTATATAAAATCCAAGATTGGAAGCTCGCACTGTATTGCGACTACAACGTCAGTGTTCACAACGTCTTGTAGTAGCTGAAGAAGCGTAGCCTGATCAGAAAACTGAATCACGTGTCTTACTTTTGCCTTGAAAACTAGAAACGTTTTTACAGAGTAGGCTTGTTCCTCTTATTTGAATAGGTTTGTGCCTCCCTTAAAGCCCATAAAATTGTTAAGAGCTCCCGTCCATTAGTCGCTAAATTTGTTTCATTATTACGTAATAATCGTGAAATTATTGTAATGAGGGTGTTAATTTTTCCGTTTTCACCTTATGGAAGCTTTGCCCGGCTACTGCGGCAAAACCTTTTATGAAGCACCTATGGTAACTGGCCAATCCCAGATATAATATAAGTTTGCACAATGTAGAATGAATCTGAAATGTTTTCACTGTCATCAATTTTTATTATTGCATATTTCTTATGTAGCTTCTTAGTATAGTATATACAGATCAACTTTTTCTAATTTTTTAGACAAATTTTTTTTCGGAATTAATGAATCCAGACAGTTAAGCCATTGATCAATAGGATGTGAACGACATGGGCGCTGGTTATTGCTACTTTGAGTGATTAGTGTTATTTTTGCCCTATCACCTTTTGGGACCTCCGTTAGGGGCGATTGTTGCAAAATCTTTTATGAAGCACCGATGGTAGCTGTAAAATCCCAGAAATGATCTGAGTCGAGTAAAGTGAAAGAGATCTGAAATGTTTTTATTGTCTTCCATTTTTCAGGTGATGTCCGATTTCCACCCCTAAATATGATGAAACCCAAATAGTAGACACTTTTTTTAAAAAAGTTGGTTTTTTCTTGGGAAACTCGGTTGCCAGTGTTTTTTAGAACCATTCAACGTCTTTGACGTGGTCTTCTTTACTGTCGAATAAAAATAAATGATTACGTCGTCGACGTAGACATAGCAAATGTTCCAGATTTTTTCCTATATATATATATAACACCGACGATAGTTCTTTGGAATATGCTTGGGGCTTCCACAAAGAGAAGCCTACAAAATTCGTATTTCACGTTGTTGACAGAAAAATCCATCTATTATGGGTCTTTCTCCGCCAATTTTATTTAGTGGAAGCCAGATTTTAAGTCCAAAGTTGTAAATAATTGTGACCATCCCATATTTGTTAGTATTGTGAAAATCCATCTGTACGTATGGTGACTATTTTATTGAAATTGTAAGGCAGGGTTTCGTTTGGGTCCGCAAGGGACTTTTCCGATAACATTGCTTACCTATTTTCGCATTGACTTTTTTCAAATGATCGAGTTTAATGCTCCCGTCAAGCTCTTTTAAACTATCTAGTATGAAGCAAGTAAGAGGTTCTAGTCGAGACCACCCGACTAGGGAATACCCTGAATCCTCTTATTCCAACCCCAAATACAGATCGCGCTACGCGCTCGTTTGAAGTAATAAAAATATATTAACAAAAAAAAAACACCTGGGAGGGTTCGAACTCGCAACTGACCGCATTACTTGCTGTCGACTCTACTCTACCGCCACAGCAGCCAAAAAAAAAATAACAGTTTCCCCGGTACGTCTCGAACTTGCGACTGACCGCACCACCTACTACTGCCTCTTCTCAACAGACACACCAATAATTGAGTCACAATGAGAAGAAAAAAACCTATTCAAATAGCAGCACAGAAAACAAAACAATCGCAATTGCAATGCTGCAGCATGTTGATAGATTTCAAAGCAGAAGCGCAAGTATGTGTGTGTGTATATGTATACAGAAATTTTTTGAATTTGCGCTTGCTGCCACTGATACGAGGAAACTCAATGCACGTTTTCTTTAATAACGTCTG